GGGAAAAAGAGAGGTAGGGGGAAAACATTAGCAATATTAGGCATAAGAAGACTTGTAAAGATATGCTTAGCTGATGGGATTGGGTCACATGCTAGTGACACATCCTCAAGGGAGTTGGGAAAAGTATGTTTTCCAGTTTATATATTGTGAAAGTGGGAGTCATAAGTAGGAAATTATCAAAACAGGAAATGTATTAAAAAATGATAAGCAGCCAGAGTGAGTGGCAAATATTCACTAGGTAAGGAATTCTGAAAATGAAACATTTTTAATGAGACTTAGAGGAATAAGATAAAGCAGCTTTGAAGACTTGTGTGAATATTCTAAGATAATACATCAGGAGCAAAGAAAGTAGGATAGGAAAAAGGCATCATATTTTTGAGGAATATCATGTAAATCATGAGTGACAGAGCATAATTAGCGAAGTAAAAGGTAACAGAAAATGAAATTGGAGACATAGGTTGTAGTCTTTAGGCTGGGGTAAAAAAATAAACTTATTCTAAGATAAATTAACAAATCACTGAAGGTTTATATAGGAAGTGACATGATCATATTTATTCTGTAAAATAATAAATTATTGGGTATAAAATGGATTATGAGGGGCAAGAGAGAAAACTGAAAAATCAGGTAGGAGAGTATTGCAGTGACCGTAGTGAGATGTGGTGCTAGTTTAGATTAGAAGGTAATGGGAAGATGGAGAAAATGAAACAGATTAGAATCATATTTTTAAAACAGTATGAGTCTGGTAAATGAAATAGAGGAATCAATAATAACTCTAAGATTTTAGAATAAGCAATTAAACAGTATCATTTACTTTATTTAAAAAGTTTGGAAGAGAAACACATTTGTAGGGGAAAATCAAGAACTGCAGATAAAATGTATACATTACATTGTGAGATATCTGTTGAATTTCTAATTAGAGATATGAGATGAGCACTTATATATGTATATATGTCTGAACTGCAGGGTACAGGCCTATTCTAAACCAGAAAATTGTTATTTATTATCATAAATTGGTATAATTCTAGGATTAGGCAAGATCACCTAAAGATGGTGGAGCTAAGACTTAAAGAAAAATGAACACTAAGATATTATGACATTTAGACAGTTTAGGTAAGGAAGTAGTGTCAGGAAAGAAAGGAGTCATTATAGGTAAGCATTTATGGAAAAAAATACTAAGATAATCTGGTGTCTCAGCCATGAGCAGATATCTCTAATTCAACAATGTATTTAGATAGGGGGAAGAAATGATGTTAAAATAATTAATTTGGAGGTCAGCCAAAAAGGTATTAGGCATACAACTAATCCAGTTGCTAAGATAACCTCAGATATAATTGGCAAACCTGTTGCTTTTGCAACAAATTAATGAAATTCCTCAGAAATAGATGAGATGATTACAACAGCCTATAAAATATATACCTACTATATTTCTGGTGGCTTTTGAATTAAAACTTTTTTTTATACTTAAAGTTCTGAAGTACATGTGCAGCTCATGTAGGATTGTTACATAGGTATACACATGCCGTGGTGGTTTGCTACATCCTTCCCCCATCACCTACATTAGGTATTTCCCCTAATGTTATACCTCCTCAATCCCCCGATCCCTGCTATCCCTCCCCTAGCCAGCTCCCTGCCCAATAGTCCCCAGTGTGTGATGTTACTCCCTGGGTCCATGTGTTCTCATTGTTCAACACCCACTTATGATTGAGAACATGTGGTGTTTGGTTTTCTGTTTTTGTGCCAGTTTGCTGAGAATGATGGTTTCCAGCTTCATCCATGTCCCTACAAAGGACATGAACTCATCCTTTTTTATGACTGCATAGTATTCCATGGTATATATGTGCCACATTATCTTTATCCAGTCTATCATTGATGGGCATTTGGTTGGTTCCAAGTCTTTGCTTTTGTAAACAGTGCCACAGTAAACATACAAACATATGTGTCTTTATACTAGAACAATTTATAGTCCTTTGGGTATATACCCAGTAATGGCTTTGCTGGGTCAAATGATATTTTTCTTTCTAGATCCCTGAAGAATCACCACACTGTCTTACACAATGGTCGAACTAATTTACACTCCAACCAACAGTGTATAAGTGTTCCTTTCCTCTACATCCTCTCCAGTATCTGTTGTCTCCTGATTTTTTTCATGATAGCCATTCTAACTGGCTTGAGATGGTATCTCAATGTGGTTTTGATTTGCATTTCTATAATGACCATCATTGGTCAATGATGATGAGCATGTTTTCATATGTTTGTTGGCTGTATAAATGTCTTCTTTTGAAAAATGTCTGTTCATATCCTTTGCCCACTTTTTGATGGGAATGTTTATTTTTTTCTTATAAATTTGTTTAAGTTCCCTGTAGATTCTAGATAACAGCCTTTTGTCAGATGGGTAGATTGCAGAAATGTTTTCCTATTCGGCTGGTTGCCAGTTCACTCTGATGATTGTTTCTTTTGCTGTGTAGAAGCTTTTAAGTTTAATTAGATCTCATTTGTCTATTTTGGCTTTTATTGACATTGCTTTTGGTGTTTTAGTCATGAAGTTCTTGCCTATGCCTATGTCCTGAATGGTATTGCTTAGGATTTCTTCTAGGGTTTTTATGGCGTTAGGTCTTATGTTTAAATTTTTAATCCATCAGGAGTTAATTTTAGTGTAAGGTGTCAGGAAGGGGTCCAGTTTCTGCTTTCTGCACATGGCTAGCCAGTTTTGCACACCATTTATTAAACGGGGAATCCTTTCCCCATTGCTTGTTTTTTTGTCAGGTTTGTCAAAGATCAGATGGTTGTAGATGTGAGGTGTTACTTCCCAGGCCTCTGTTCTGTTCCATTGGTCCATATCTCTGTTTTGGTACCAGTACTATGCTCTTTTTATTACTGTAGCCTTGTAGTATAGTTTGAAGTCAGGTAGTGTGATGCTTCCAGCCTTGTTCTTTTTGCTTAGGATTGTCTTGGCTATGTGGGCTCCTTTTGGGTTCCATAGGAAGTTTAAGGTGTTTTTTTCCAGTTCTGTGAAGAAGGTCAATGGTAGTTTGATGAAGGGAGCATTGAATCTATAAATTACTTTGCACAATATGGCCATTTTCACAATATTGTTTCTTCCTAACCATGAGCATGGAATGTTTTACCATCTGTTTGTATCCTCTCTTATTTCCTTGAGCAGTGTTTTGTAGTTCTTCTTGAAGAGGTCCTTCACATCTCTTGTTAGTTCTATTCCTATTTTATTCTCTTTGTAGCAATTATGAGTGGGAGTTCGCTCATGATTTGGCTGTCTGTTTGTCTGTTATTGGTATATAGGAATGCTTGGGATTTTTGCTCATGATTATCTTAATAGATGCAGAGAAGGCCTTCGACAAAATTCAACAGCCCTTTATGCTGAAAACTCTCAATAAACTCGGTATCAATGGAACATACCTCAAAATAATAAAAGCTATTTATGACAAACCCATAGAGAATATCATACTGAATGGGAAAAAACTGGAAGCATTCACTTTGAAAACTGGAACTAGATAAGTGTGTCTTATCTTATCACTCCTATTCAACATAGTATTGGAAGTTCTAGTCAGAACAATCAGGCAACAAAAAGAAATAAAGGGTATTCAATTAGGAAAAGAGAAAGTAAATTGTCTCTATTTGCAGATGCCATGATTGTATATTTAGAAGACTGCATCATCTCTCCTTAAGATAAACAACTTTGACTAAGTCTCAGAATATAGCTTTTTACTATATCATTTTATTGCACTTAAAAATTAAAAGAACATATATTATTCTAGTTATTTGTTCAAACTTTCTCAATGGAATTTTGGTAGTTTAGATTCCAAATTTAGAAATATAAAAACTTAAATAAGTATTTAAAGATATTTATACAGTTGTACTGAAATGATATCTAATATATACTACATTAATATTCTAGATCAGGTCATGTAATCGATATTTGTACCTGTGTAACACATTGCCCCCAAGTCATAGCAGCTGAAAAGAGCAAACATTTATTGTCTCACTTTCTGTGCAGCAAGAACTCGTTGTGGCTTGCTGTCCTGTACCTCAGATCTTTCTCACAAGGTGGCAATTGAAGTGTCAGGACTGTGGGTCATCTGAAGGCTCAACTGAATAGAGTATACCTCAAGCTCACTCAAATGGCTCCTGCCCAGACACATCATTTCCATGCAGTGTGTGTCTGGCTATTGCACAGCTTATAACTTGTCAGTAGTGTATTAGTCTGTTCTTGCATTGCTATAACGAGAACCTAGATAGTGATGAAGTCTCCCACTATAGCAATAGGTTCCTACTATTTAAATATCATTTGCTACACAGAGATAGTACACATTTTCTAATGGTAGAATTTCCTCATGGATAATGTGTGTATCCAGTTAGCAAAATAAAAACATTGGCCCATAATAACTTTTTTATATCACTCATTCTCTTTAAATATGTAACTTAGAATTTTTGTTACTGAGTCAATTTTTATATTTTATGCTTTTATTGTATTGCAATCAAAGGAATCTTATAAGTAAACTTATTTTAAATATAGAAAATTATAGTAATTAGACAGTGACTATTCTAATAAGCAATTTCAGAAGGAGAAATGACTAGTAACTATAGATGATGCAAAAAAAATTCATCAAGTGCCTCGATTTTGTCAGATGCCATCACTCAAATTATATTGTTTAACTCCAGAATAATATATTGTGAAATTTCTGTGTTCAGCTTAGGTAGAATAAAGCAAAAATCTACTCACTTAGATCATTGGTTAGTGAGTGGTTAGCCAGAATTTGACTGATACGCATCAAAGAATTCAATATCAAACCAATTGTCTTCTCTTTCCAAGGCAACAAACTTATCTCAATAAAAGTAATTTATATTTTACCTATGCTGAAAGCATTTTTAGAAATCAGTGATTTATTTCCCTACCTGCCTACACTAGTAACAAATGTATGATAATTAAGACATATGAAATATATTAATATAATAGCAAATTATGAGTTATTATTTATTTAAAAACTATAAAACTTAAATGTTAAACCAGACAGTATATATTGTGGGAAGTGTTTTCTGAATTGTAGTGCAAAAGGTGTGTGTGACTGGACAGAAAGAATGTGAAAGTGCATGCTGCTTTTTCATAAAGAAAAAAGCAAAATACACGGGTTAACTCATAATATCTGATTTGGAGTTTCTTAATTATAGTCAGGCAGCAGAATTTGGAAACAAGAGCAAATATTAACCTGTTCTTATAAATTTTCACATAATGTAACATTTATTCTTTCATACATAAATTCAACAAATATTTATTGATTGCTCTATGCACTCAGAAAAATGGAAAGAAAACAAATCTAGGAAAACAAATTAAGAGCCAGCAAATAAATTAATAACTATTTAAAATTAAGGATTCAAAAAAGTGATAATTTTTAGGAAAATAAATTACCCTGAATAATTCAATGAAGAGCACAATAAAATGTGTCGCACTGGGATGGACATGCTAGACATTGTTGTCGAAAACTCCAGTCTATTCGATGGCAAATTGTTCAAAGTTTACAAATATGAGATGCTTCTTGAGGACCTAGGGGAAGAATGTTCAGAAACTCCGAAAGTACTTACAAGAGCCACAATAGAGGGAGCAAGTCTGGCAAGATCGAGAAATAGCTAGGGAGTGCAGATGGCTAAACACAAAGTGAGGATGAGAGCACCAGGAATTAAGCTTGGAGAATTGAGAGAACTGAGACTGAAGTGAAGAAAGCAAATGAATTTTATTCCTTTTTGTTTTTGTTTTTGTTTTTTTGAGACAGAGTCTTGCTCTGTTGCCAGGCGCCAAGCTGGAATGCAGTGGCGGGATCTCGGCTCACTGCGACCTCCACCTCCCGAGTTCAAACACTTCTCCTGCCTCAGCCTCCTGAGTAGCTGGGACTACAGGTGCGCACCACTACGAACAGCTAATTTTTGTATTTTTTTTTTTTTTTTTAGTAGAGACGGGGTTTCACCATGTTGGCCAGGGTGGCTGATATCTTGACCTCGTGATCAGCCCGCCTCAGCCTCCCAGAGTGCTGGGGTAACAGGCGTGAGCCACCGTGCCCGGCCAGTTCCTGTTTTATTAGAAATCCTGTTGCAAGTCGTAAGCAAAGGAGTGACTGAAGTTATTCATGTTTATAAATATATACTCTTGCTACCATGTGGGATGTAGAAGCAGGCAAACAATTTAGGAGCCTACTGGAATTATTTCCCCTCACCCCAAAAAAAGTTGCAAATAAGAGACTGGCTCACTGACTGTTGAGTGATATGGGAAAAATTGGGCAAGGAGCAGCTTTCCTCATGGAGGGATACTGGGTAGAAGAAGGGTGGACATGCAGTTAAAATGGTCTCTACCAAAGCTATTCAAACTGAAAAACTGCAATGAAATTATGTGATTGACTATTGTATAATGACTGACATAATCATAAATTGTTTATGCAATTTTAAACACAAATTAGGCATGTACTCATGGAACAGATTTTATTATATCTTCACTATAGTTTGAGTATGAGCTACGCACAATATATGGACATTCACATCTTGCTTCGGCACATTACTCAAACTAAATGCACAAAACTGACAAATACATAATCTTCAATAGGACTCTAATCCTTTGCTCTATTATCATGAGGCATTAGCCTATTATATCGTTGAGATAGAATTCTCATCAGTACCAAAGGCTGGCAGATGTAATTCAGAATATCCATTCTATACAACTAAATAGAGGTTAAAGAAAGTTTTTCTAAATATAATACAAATCTCGCCGGGCATGGTGACTCATGCCTGTAATTCCAGGACTTTGGGAGGCCGAGGCGGGTGGATCACGAGGTCAAGAGATCGAGACCATCCTGGTGAACATGGTGAAACCCCTTCTCTACTAAAAATACAAGAAATTAGCTGGGCATGGTGGCACATGCCTGTAGTCCCAGCTACTCAGGAAGCTGAGGGAGGAGAATTGCTTGAACCCAGGAGGTGGAGTTTGCGGTGAGCTGAGATCCCGCCATTGCACTCCAGCCTGGGTAACAAGAGCGAAACTCCATCTCAAAAAAAAATAAAAAATAAAAAAAAATATATATATATGTATATACACACATATATATAAAGAAATCTCCTTGTGTTTGTATTTATATTCCCCATGTTCATGTAAAATATCTTTGGTTTGCAATATTCAGCTCAAATAACTTATTCTGTGTTCTGAAATTCAGAGTTCAGATTAAACCCAAAAGGACTTGACCTTTGCTGCAAATTGCATATTTAATATGATATACAAAGAATATTTACCTGGATGTATTAATTTTAAAGGCCTTTGGCTGGCTATACAATCCTGTTTTCTCTCAGAAACTAGTGTACAATAGAATAATACATAACAAAATTAAAATGGTTTTATTTTTGAAATATTGAAAACTTACTGCTATACAAATACAATAGAAAGTTTTAATCTATTGCAATTTTTAACCCCTCCAATACATCATGGATATTCAAAAATTTTTAATGCCTAAGTAAATCTACATCATGTTCTATTTTCCGTTTTTGTACATTATAAATATTCCTGCTTTTACTTAAGAAAAGAAAGCCATTAACTGAATTTACATTTGTGTTAATAAAAAATAACATTTAATATCTCAATTTTTTTGTTTTTACATTGGGCCATTTGAAACCAGTATGATCAATTTTGTTATAATCTGGGGAGATATATGGGGACTGTTAAGCAAGCAATGTGAGACAAATCAGTCAAATCAGTTTTCAAATTGATTAGAATGTTTTAAGGTAATTATTATGATGGTAGTTATTTTTCACTTAGAAATATGCACCAATAGGTATAAAATTTACAGACAGTTTCTTGTGTACCCAATACTTTTTTTTTTTTTTACTGATAATGCAAATGGTAATTCATGATTACTTTTTACCCTTCAGGAATGACATCACCCCTTACTTTCTTTATGAAATCTTTCCTAATTTTAAAGTAAAATTGTCTATTGTACTCCTATAGTAACAAAACATTTCTATTTTATTAACAAAACCTTTAACATTTAGCTACATTTGGAAAACAATGGGTTGTTTTGTTTTGTTTTTCTTGAGATGGAGTTTCGCTCTTTCACCCAGATTGGAGTGCAGTCTTGTGATCTCGGCTCACTGAAACCTCCACCTCCTGGTTTCAAGATATTCTCTTGCCTCAGCCTCCCGAGTAGCTGGGATAACAGGTGTGTGCCATCCATAGCTGGTTTTTTTTTTTTTTGTTTTTGTATTTTTAGTAGAGATGGAGTTTCCCCGTGTTGGCCAGGCTGGTGTCAACCTCCTGACTTCAAGTGATCTACTGGCCTTGGCCTCCCAAAGTGCTGGGAATACAGGCGTGAGGCAACACACCCAGCCCAACCATGTGTTTTTCTCCTTGGATAGACCAGTAAGCTTAGACAGTCTTATAAGCTTCTTGAGGATAAGGCATATTCACCTCTTTATCTCTAGATATTAACATCATTTCTGGTGGACAGCCACTGAAACAATGATAAAATTATACTTAGGTGTCTTAGTTATCATGACTAAGCATAGAATCTTCACTAGAATGATGAAAATTTCTTCTAATTTCTTAGAAAAGAGTAAGTGATAAACAAAGAAACTTGAAACAATTTTTATTATGTGTCACTATATCATTTTGCAATTCTTAATCATAATTCCAACTATAAATTAAACCATAGTAGCTTTTGTCTCAGAAATTCAGAAAAAATTCTCTTTTCTTGTCTTCTTGTGAACATGTATTCCCACTAACTGTGATTTCATGAGTGAATATCATCATCGCCATTAACATTTTACACTACTGCATTTATTAATCACCTGGGAATTTAGGAAATCATGGTGTTTATGTGTATGTCTCTCTATTTCAGTGTTTGCCTTTTTGTTTGTGTTTCTTGGAGCTATGGGAGTTGCTTTGGAAGCTGTGATCATCATATTAGCCTAGCATTATAGTGACTGTGGTCATAATAAAATAACAGCCTAGGGAGGCACTGGGAGTTTCAGAGAAAGTGTTCAATTATAGTGTATTAACTTACACCTTTTCCTTGTTCTAACGTTCTAAAATTAACTTTCCTTTTTTTTTTTTTTTTGTCCTAATAGTAGAATATCTTGGCATTATGTTTACTTGAAATGCATCTTGTTTCAAAAATTAGTTTAATGATCAATATCAATCATGTGTTGTGAATTATTTTGAAAAATTTAAAAATACTACTATAAAATAATTCTTCTAAACTGTGTATGTTTTGTTTTATGGAAAGATATCTCCTTTTAAGATAAAATGATATTTGGATTAGTTTCATAATTAACTTGCTTTAGATTTAAGACTCTCATTAATGAAAACATTCATTAATTTTATTAAAATCACCATTTCTTAAGAACTTATCCTGTGCCTAGATTTTTTAGTAGTACATATATGTATTTCATCCCATAAAATAAATACAAAATACATATAAGCTATGTCTTATTAATATCTTAATTTCCCAGATAAGAAAACTAAAGTATAGAGAGGTCAATTTCTTCTCCAATGTTACAGAGATGACATATGGCAAAGCCAAAATTTTCCACCAGGCTATTTGGGTTCAGAGAAAACACTCTTAGTGAAAATGTGTCACATAAACAGCACATTGCTTTTCAGTGAAGTTCTACATAAATTTGAGCAATTAGAAATTATTAAAAGGATACTGAATCAATTACTTGATTTTTTTAATTGGAGCTATTTGAATACTTGTATACGAAATTCCAGTTTTTCAGGTATCATAGCTTCACATAGCCAAAACAGTTCATTTTTGTGTTTCGCTTTTAAAGATGCTTCTGTGAATCTTGCCTTTCCAAAATTATCCAAACACAACCTGAAAACAACAAACATCTACAGAACATCATCTTTAGCAATGAAACAAAACATTCTGAACAAGAATATCTGAGGAAAATCCACAAAGTACAGCCAAATCAAATTAGTAGGGAAGAATGCCCTGAAGTCTCAGGTTTACATGGTGGGATGTAGATGGGTTAAAGTAATAGGCATGCACTGTGGGTGCACCATAGGTCCTCAAAAACATCCTCTGGCTTGGTGAGTCACTAGAAGTAAGTTATCACTCAGAAAAACTGTTTATATTACTATTGTGGGTCTTTACTGTAGTTATCAGTCAGAAAAAACTGTTTATACTCACTATTGTGGGTTTCAAACTGTTTAAAACCAGCAAAAGGAAAAGACACATAGGATAGACTTAAGGAGAAAATAGGCATAAACTTCCCATCATCCTTTTCCATTGGAGTAATGTAGACAGTGCTTAATTCTGCCAGCTGTGATGTGTAACAGCACATACAGTATTGTTACACAGGGAAGCTAACCAGATTCTTGGTGTCCAGGTCTTTTATTAAGGTTTGTTTATAAAAGCATGTAGTGCTTGTTACTACTGATCCTATTATTGGGAAAAGCAGCGAAGGAGAAAGGACTTACAGAGTGCCTACATAAATTCACTATGAGGAACATGTAAACAAGGAACAACAAACTGTGGAAGGCCGCAGGAGGCCTCTGAGGAGGAAGGCCTCTTCATGCCTCATTTTCCGGTGCAGGGTGACCTCAGCTCTGTTAACATAAACATTGTGTTCAAGGATGTAAAACCCCTTTATAGCACTATGACATAGCCAGACTTGTAGGCTCCTTGTAAGGCCCGAGTTCCATAAGCTGTACATAGATAATAAGCTAAAGATAACCACATGTTCTTGTTTTATGAAACTCCCAAAGCACCACTGTTATCAGTCCTTAGAATGACACACCAGTTCCAGCTCACTGATTCAGTTCTGGCTCACTGATTCACTCCACCATCACCCTCTCCCCACCATTACTCCACCCCTACCCTGTAGACCAAAGTTATTGTAACCAACAAATAGAGTGGATGATCAGAGCTCAGGGCCTTCATTGCCTTCTCCAAAGTAATACGTGATGACCCCCTGGTCCCACTATCTCTCTTAATCTGTATTTTTCTCATTCCTTTGTTGCCACTGAACACGGGGTACCCACGGGTGATGTTGGGCTGGTGCCCTACACCTGTTTAGTGGGTCTTCAACCTTCAGTCACTCTGGAGGTCAGACTGATACAGTGTATCCCAAATTCGCCACCATGAAGCACATGATATTATAAACTATCTGGAGTGCTCCAAGACCACAGGTATGCAAACATGCTTATTAGGCAGTATATTTTAAGACCTTAGAAGTTATCTCTCAAGAGTGGATGAAAGGCCAGTCCTTTCTTTGGTACATGCAGAGTTGGAATACCCTAAGCCTGCTGAGTTAGTACTTTACTGCCCATCACGTAAAACCAATAATCCCTGTTTTAGAATAAATTAATAACATATTTGCATGTTTTAGAAGGCACCTTGATATACCTATCATTGATATAATAAATGGGAAAAGAGGCCACAAGGAATTACAAGTCAAGGAGTAACAGTGAAAGAAAATTCAGGTTCTCAATGTTTTGAAGTAGAGGAAGTTCTGTGGGTGGACAGCAGTCAAATGTCCAACAGTTTGAGAGAAGCATGTGTGAGGTGATCTACACACACAGGTGTGCTCACACATGTGAAACACAAACCTGTCTCACAGAAGATTCCTCTATGTGCATGGGAAGATTTCATATACCTAGAACAAAGTTTTACTCCTAGAATACTGCTAAGTAGTTTCCATAGAAAACAGCATAAAACTCAGTCTGTCAGCTACTTAATATTTCTCTTACCTCCACTTCCTTACTGTGGTCCTTTCTTACTGTGGTCATTCCTTATATATTTCTCTAAACATAAAAGAGTTAAGATTTCCCTTTATTTAAAATGAACAAACAAAAAAGCTTACACAGCAATGCTTTTGCCTCTTAAAAAGGCAGCATAAAAGCCCTAAATGTCCATAAAATGACACAACACACACACGCATGCACAAGCACACAGAGACACATGCACACCAGGAAGATTGTTGAAAAAAAAGTAAAAAATGAAGAAGCATTATTATAGAGAGTTAAGTATGTTAAAATGTTCTTCATATTATAAAACTTTAGAAACAAAAATTCTGGGATCAAATGCTAACACGAAGTAATCACTGAACAGGAAGAGCTAAAATAAGAAAGATAAATTAAGGTTAGAGAAATTAAACTTACCTGGATGAATATGAAAAGCAAGTAGAAACAGATTTAACAAAAAAGTGATTATATATGACAGCATGACAGTTACATATAACAAAGAAGTTATATATGACAGCGTGCATTCTAAAAAATATAAAGAACAGATGGTTTTATGAGAAAATTAGAAAGAAATTGATAGACAATAAAAAACAAAAATGAAATGACCCAAATTGTGAATATTTAACATCCCCCCACTAATAGAACAAATGAAACAAAGCAATCAAATATATTATTCAATATGACATTCCTAAAATACAGAAAAACAAATCTTTGGATTTAAAGTTCAAGAAAAAAATGGTACAGTTCAATCAATACTGACATACTGCCTGGGGCAGTTAATTGACTTGAAAGATAAATAATCCCAAAGTCAGCCTAGCAAATCTTCAAGTCAACTACAAAAGGGATAAACCAGGCTTAGTTCTGACTTCTCCATAGTAACATTCTCCACAAAAGAACGGCCAGAGCAAATATCAACAAGATTTTCAGGGAACAAATGTGACCAAAAATTTAAAACTTTGCCAAATTGCTATTCCATCATAAGGGCAATGGATAGATATTGTCAAAGAACATCATCTGACTGTAAGCTCTGACATTTTATCAGAAACAAATGATCTTTCATGAATACATTATTACCAAGAAGTAGCCAGGTAAGAGTTCACAAATGCAAAGTCTTTCTGATATTTGCAATGACACATCACATGAGTAGTGATTGAAACTCTTTTCTCATGAATATAAATTCAAAGGCACTTACCTTCAGAATTACAGGAATAAAAAAGAATTACAAAAATAATATGCCTGCAATGCAATATGCTACGATGCTCAGTCAGTTTTGACTTACTAAAAAAAAATCAGCCTAGAAACTCATTATCTTTGTTTATATTTCAAATTTGAGTCAATAACATCACAGTAACAAGGATAATATCAGAGTTACATTTTTTATTAAGACCCTATCTATCCTGAAGCTTTCTTTTTGTAGTGAATTGCTTTGGTTTCACAATCTGTCTTATTATAGAAAAAAATTAAATTTCTACATTTTTTTCCAAATGTGTGTGTGTGTGTGTGTGTGTGTGTGTGTGTGTGTGAGAAATAACAAAACAAATATATTCTTGGTTGGAATTATTTAAATTAAATATTTTTTTGTGTCAAAATCATTGTCTTTTCTGTTCAAACAGTTGTAATTAGGACCTACAGAAACTACCAGAGATGAAAATGAATTATAGATCCTTAATTTATGATATAGTTATGTGCTTATAAGCTCATCATCAGTTGAAAATATTGTAAGTTGAAATGCATTTAATATACCTACTTACCAAACATCATGGCTTAACCTAGTCTACCTTAAACATGCTCAGAATACTTACATTAGCCCATAGTCAAGCAAAGTTATCTAACACAAAGCCTATTTCATTACAAAGTGTGGAATATCTTATGTAGTTTATTGGTAATTCACTGAATGCATATTGTTTTGCACCATCATAAAGTCAGACAATTGTAAGGAGAACCATTGTAACTTGGAGACTATTGGTATCTTATAGCCAATCAAAGTAAATGAATAATTGCTTATAGAAATGAACTAATTACTTCAAAAATAGTATTAAGATTGAATTCATTATATTGCTATTATAATTTATTGCACAAATGACATTTTGAGTGTGGGTGAACATTAAGGTTTCAACCCAGATTTCCCAGGGAAAACTGATATGTGGTTACCCAGGCAATAAACCGTATTATATATTTCGCTTTCATCTCCACAACAATCTTATGAATAGGTTATTATTCTCATTAGCTAAATGAGAATACTGGGCCCTAGAGATGAATGATTCATACAAAGCCTAAGTCAGTTACAGACACAGAATGTCAGTCCACTACAAACTGATCCCAGGATTCGTATTCATCAAAATTGTCTTCTGTAAATCTACAATCCATTCAAGACCATAATTTTTTAAAAATATAGTCTATCAGATACAATTTTCTGTGTTTATTTTTAATTTCTCTCAAAGTCAGAGTTATGTGCAAAGAAATGTCCATTTTTTCTCAAAAGCAATGTAATAAAGTATATATATGTATATGTGTGTATATATATACACGTATGTATATGTGTATATATACATATAATATATATGTAAACATATATACACATACATATATACATATACATACATATATACACATACATGTATATATGTAAAATTGTTCAGGTACCTGAAGTTATGCAGTAGATTGTTCAAAGGAAGAAGTTAATAAAAAAAAAACTGGCATGAAAGATTAGCTATTTAGATGTATACTGTGAAATACCTTAGTTGAAAGACTGTTTCAGTGCAGGGTTATTGTTTGATTTGGTGACTATTTGTTTTTATTATCTAAGTTTAAAAAGTCAAATCCCTGACTTTAATGAGTTCCTATAGTGAGGAGAGCTGCTTTATTTATTAACAGCTTTTTACCTGCTGCTTACTAAATTTCTTAAGGCCTACCCTATAAATGAAAGGGGTTGAGGAAGGGAAAGCATAAGTTTAATTTGACTAGGAAAGAAGGAAGAGCTTCTTTAATGTGATTAAAATTGAAATTAGAAACTGGTGAGAAATCACTTGCAGGTCTACCCCATTCCCTGCTCAAGGAATATAGTCATGAGTTTTTGCTTTTTGAGTGCTTCATTCATTTCGAAGATGTCCTTCAATTTCTGCTGCCTTTCTCTGTCATTATTAGATCAACATCCAGGCTTGTAATGTTGTAGCTATATAAACAAGAGAAATAATTATTCTAAACAGTAACATCACAAGATCTATAAAATATCTTAGAAAAGAATAGATACAGTCAAGTTTATTTCTTGTTCAAGTTACTCACAGGGCTCAATATCAGTTTGAAAAGTTATTGTTTAGTAACCTTTCCAGACAAAAAGTATTTCCATCATAAAATCAGGAAGGCACCAAAGAATATTTCAAAGTGCTTTAAAGCTGAGTGGGTTGTATAGATGAAATGGGGGGGGGAGGGAATCTAGCATTAAAGAGTGCCTTGCCTAGAAATATTTTTATTTCAAATCTAGCTCTTTTGACTTGTAATGGTATATACTAAGTTCGCAGCTACATATACAGACTCTCTACTACAAATAGCAACAATAGAGAAAACAGAAATTGTGACAACAAAATATACATAAATGTCCTTAAAAAAAGGGAACATCTCTGAATACTAGGAAGTTTATGGAAAAACAAAACAATTAAAAAATAATAAGGTAAGTTCCAGTCCAGACAGATAATGGTGAGTAAGATTTCAAATCCAGCATATTCATAAGGACTAATTTTGTGTAACTTATCTAGAGATCCAAAACTCACCTCTCGAAGCCAATGCTTATAAAATATGAGCAAAGCTAAAGTAGCTCACTAAACATCTGTTTCTGAAGGCATGGCTTCTTAGGAAGCTGTGGGCAAGAAGTCAGAAAGAAATGTAGAGGCAAAGTGTCCATTCTATCAGTAACTATATCTGGGATATCCTTAATATCATCTTGGGGTAAGTGTTAAATAAAAACATAGATTCTGAACCATAGTAAAAAAATTTTAGAAACAAAGAGTAGATGCACAAAATATGAAAACTGCTGCATTGGTAGAGAAAGAAAGGAAGACTTATATAGAAAAATAAAACTACCCACTCAAAACACCTGCTTATAAAAATTGAAAGATATATAAAATAATAAAGCTCATGTCAAAAAAGATAACCAGAATGAGTAATCCGAATAAGTATTTTTTTGAGTGAAGTTACCTTTATGGAACTAGCAAGGGCTTTAAGTATGTTTAGGATTCTCAAAGAGATTAATGTACAGATAAGATTGTGAGATAGAGTTGATTTAATATTTTGTCAATTGTAGTCTCCTGCTAGTGTGCCTTCTTTCACTTCAGAGATAGAAAAATATAAAATATTACCATATTTTCTTGCAGTTCCCTATCTAGGTGCAATGCAGGTTTTGTCAATCAGGTGCCTTCACACAGACTTGAGTCAAGGACTGAGTTAAGTGGAAGAGGCCAGCACAAGAAGCACATAGATTAATAAATGTGGATTTTAGGTATGATGTGTCTTTGGACTATCAGTGCAGGTGGTGGCTAACTGATTTTTTTAATAATATTTATTCCTAGAGTCAAAATTTCTGGCAATTTCTTGATCCTGTACCATGAATAAGCTTGATAGGAGCTTCGTTCCAACACTGGGGAATGTGTCTTCCTGATTTCCTGAGAAAGATCACTGTTATCATTCTCTTTATGGATCATTCTGGTTCCAAAGTTTACATGTACACAACCAGCCAATGCAGATACACACACACACACACACACACACACACACACACGCTCATACACACACGTACACTCACACACTCACACAAAAGCAGTAATAGCTAGATAAAGCTTTGAAGAAGAAAAAAATAAGGGGATAATCACTCTTTTAATTGTAAAAAGTACTTTTAAAAATTAGGTGATAAAAATATGGAATGTGTAGAAGGATAAATAGCATAGAATATAAAGGAAAAAAATAAACCCAAATAACCATAGAATGTTTGTGTATGTTGACTTCTCAAAACAGTGGATGGTAATTATTGACGGTTTAACACATAAAGTAATACTATGTAAGACTATGTACTGTTAGTTAAAAAAAAAAGAGATACATTTGGATAATTCCTCACACCATCCACCAGTATAAACTGCAAAACATTTTCAAACTAAATGTACAGAATGAAGCAATATGGGTGCTAGAAAAAAAAGTGGGTGAATTCCCTTAAAGCTGGAAAAGCAGGAAAGCATTCTAATTATGAATTTAAAAATCAAGAAACATTAAAGGGAAAGTATGGTAAATGTGAATATGTAAAAATAACACAATGAGAAAAATAGTTTTGCCTGCAAATTATACCATAGGCAAAATTAAAAAGAAAACTGACAAAAATATTTGCAACATATATCATAAACATATGGCTAATCTCTCCTTTTCATAAAGAGTTCTCTAAATTGAGAATAAAGCAGAAAACACAAAGGCAAAGCACAAGGAAACAATGTTCACAGAAAAAATAACAGTGGCACTTGATCAAAGATGCTCAACTTCTCTTGATTTTACAGCAAGGTGTAACTTCTACCAGATTAATAAAAAAGCTAAACCTTTGACAAAACACTGGTAGTAAAGCCATGAGGAAATGCCTCCATTGTGGGAAAAATACAAAATAGTAAAATGGAGGGTGATCTGGTCATATTTACCTGTATTATGAAGGCCTTTGTTCTTTGACCCAGTCATATAGTCATGAAATACATCATACATATGCACTTGTAAAATGCTATTATAAAAAATAATACTTTCATACTTCATTGTAGAAAAACTTGGAAGCGAATTCATTTTACTATCAAGTAAGCTATGGCTATCTACACAGGAGAACTCTATGCAGCTCTATATTTTTAACCGTGAAAAAAATCTCTGTATATGGAAAAAAACATCTTTTAGGATTTATAGGTAAGTAGAAAAAGTGAGCTGTAAAATAGCATATATGTAACATTACATTTTGTGTAAGAGACAAGAAGAACCTATTTTAAATAATTTAAACAACTAAATATTGGAAAAATGAGCACTATAATAATAACAATAATAAAAGCATCTAGAATGCCAGCGGATGGGGTACATGCATATAAGTTTGAAGCAATATTTTTTTCTGAATATATTTTATATAATTTAAAATTTTAATCATATACAGACTAATTTATTTTAAAAATTAGAACTAATTTAGAAAAAAAATACTAGAATATATATTATAGATACACAAGGATATGTATATATATTTGGATATACAAGGAACATTTTATTGATCTGTGAAAGAATCTTATAGAATATCTCAAAAAAATTACAAAATCAAAAGTAAATTATAAAATCTTATTGATTTAAAGTAGTTGGTAGTTTTCAGTTTCGAAATATGTAACTAAATTCTATGGAACGCATGAGAAGTACAATAGAAATCACAAAATACTGAGAAATAAATGGCAATGAAAACCTGTGAAATCAATAAAAAGTGAACTTTGTCATAAATCTATATGTCAAAAATCATAGTTTTATTTAAATGAATAAGCTCAAATACATGAACTCAGAAAAGTATGACTTACCTAACTATAATAAAAAGTTAATATAACAGAAAATAAACACAAAATATTTAATAGAGTCAACATACAAAAATATAGCTTTTTTTAAAATTAAAATAGCAGCATGACCTTAAGAACTACTGATAGTAGATGGAAAGAGTTGGAGTGGAATGAAAAGAAAGAAAAAGGAATAGAATAATGGAATGATTTTTTAGGCAAATATACATCACTTGTAGAACTGTAGAAGAAAGAATGCTTCAACAATTGCAGTAATTCTGCATTTCTTTTCAAAACATAAAGAAATTAAACACATAATATTATTGGATGTAATTGCTGGTTGGTGAAAATGTGTTTCTTTTATATTGCTTTTTGTTTATTATCAACAATTAATAATAAAAAAAGTAAGAGAACAAAAAAATATCAAAAATTTTTGCTAAAGAAATTGCTAGCTCCTAGGATTCTGATGTAGATTTGGCAGTAGCCACAGTGGGCAGTGGGAGTACACCTATCTACTCGGAGCAGTTTAGGGCACTGTCAATAAGATGCAATTCTGGCATTTATAAAAATATTAAATAAAATGAACATAAGGTTTAAGTTTCTTTGACTGAGTGTTCTTTTCTTGCAAATTATTTCTAAACCAAGATAGCCCTGAGTCAATATATTACTATCAGTACTTGCATTACTAAATATTAGAAAGAATCAATAATATCCCATTATTAAATCACCATGACTGTAATAACATGATAACATTTATTGCCTAACATAATGCATTTAAGTGTTTTTCTTAATACCGCAGTGTGCTTCACACATATAATTTATTATTATGTGGAGAAACCAATGACAGAAAGTTATAAGACCATACTCTTAATAAAAAGGGAAGATTCCTATTTACTATGATATGAATACAATCATGAGTTAACTTTTTGCAAAAGAAGATATACAAATGGCCAACAAATATGTGAAAAAAAGTTCAACATCACTAATTATCAAGGAAATGCAAATTAAAATCACAGTGATATACCACCTCACTCCTGCAAGAATGACCATAATTGAAAAATCAAAAAATAATAAATTTTCCTGTGGATGTGGTGAAAATGGAACATTTTAAACTGCTGGTAGGAATGTAAACTACTACTACCACTATGGAAAACAGTGTGGAGATTCCTAAAAGAACTAAAAGTGGATCTACTATTCAATACAGCAGTCCCACTACTGAGTATCTACCCAAAGGAAAAAAAGTTATATGAAAAAGACACTTGCACATGCATGTTTATAGCAGCTCAATTTGCAGTTGCAAAAATATGGAACCAGCTTAAGTGCCCATCAGCCAACAAATAGATTAAGACATTATGATATATATATACATATCATGAAATACTATTCAGCCATAAAAAGAAATGGAATAATGGCATTCACAACAACTTGGATGGAGTTGGAGACCATTATTCTAAGTGAAGTAACTAAGAAATGAAAAACCAAATGTCGAATGTTCTCATTCATAAGTGGGGCTTAATTATGAGGATGCAAAGGCATATGAATGATTCAATGGACTTTGGGGACTCAGAGGAAAGGGCGGGAGGGGGATGAGATATAAAAGACTATCCATTGGGTAAAATGTACACTGTTCGGTTGATGGGTTCACCAAAATCTCAGAAATCACCACTAAAGAATTCATCCATGTAACCAAAAAACACTTGTTCCCCCAAAACTATAAAAAAATAAAAAATTTATAAATTATATGATTAATATAAATACAGTAATTTCTTATTAATTGCTTTTTCCTTTGAGAATATTTATTAAACATACATTGAATGCCAGTAAATATATCGGTAAACTCTTGTTTCAATGGCTATATAAACTATTTAAAATTTATTTGATATCCCATGTTTAAATATGCCATTTCAAATATTGTATTAAATTTTTTAAAAATCTGTAGACTTATACTTTAGCATACAATATTGATGTAATTAAAGACATGTCATTAATTTATTTTACAGACTTATTTTAAGCAATCAAAATTTACACCTGTTTACACTATAATTTCACAAAATATAAAGACAGAAATCATCTCAAAACCTTGCAGTTACAGTATAAGTTCCAAAATAACGGTCATCCTTGAATTTCAGTTTCCATTAAACATTTTTTCTTGCAGTTGTGATGCAATCTATAGGCATATTGTAGAATTATACTACATTTTAATGATAGACATAATACTATTATAAAATAAAATTCTCAGCAAACTGACACAAGAACAGAAAATCAAACACCACATGTTCTCACTCATGGGCAGGTGTTGAGCAATGAGGACACATGGACACAGGGAGGGGAGCATCACACATTGAGGGTGGGGGGGACTAGGGGAGGGACAGCAGTGGGTATGGAGTTGAGGAGGGATAACATGGGGAGAAATGCCATATATAGGTAATGGGGATGAAGGCAGCAAACCACATTGCCGTGTATATACCTGTGCAACAATCCTGCATGTTCTTCATATGTACCCCAAACCTAAAATGCAGTAATACGCACACACACACACACACACACACACGTAAATAAATAAATAATAAAATTCTCTTGAAACCTACCTTTTTATAACTGTAGGTCTGTATAATTAAATTTTGTTTATTTACTTGACTTAACAGAATCATCAATATTGCCTGAACTCTCATGAGTCAGCCTTTAAAAAATCAGTTATTTTTACTGAAAAATAAGTCTCAAAAAACTCTGAAACTAGTGAACCCCAAGGAACAATACTGTTTATTTTACTTTTCATTTCAAAAAAAATCTTAAAGAATTCAAAGAAATAATAGTCATGATAGAAATACTACCTGTTCATGTGCCCATGCCAATGTGACACCTTTAATAAATATTAGCTAATTATTATGTAAACTCTGGCTTTTAGAGTTTTCATAATGAAATCTGTACCAAAGCCAATGTCCAATGTCTATTATTTTGTAATTATAATTTAGTTCATAACAATTATTACCTTAATTTCTTGTTGATTAGATTCCATAATGTAATATAGAATACATAATATTCTCAAGTCTTTTTTTTTTTTTTTTTGAGACGGAGTTTCGCTCTTGTTACCCAGGCTGGAGTGCAATGGCGCGATCTTGGCTCACTGCAACCTCCGCCTCCTGGGTTCAGGCAATTCTCCTGCCTCAGCCTCCTGAGTAGCTGGGATTACAGGCATGCGCCACCATGCCCAGCGAATTTTTTGTATTTTTAGTAGAGACGGGGTTTCACCATGTTGACCAGGATGGTCTCCATCTCTTGACCTCATATTCCACCCGCCTCGGCCTCCCAAAGTGCTGGGATTACAGGCTTGAGCCACCGCGCACAGCCTATTCTCAAGTCTTAAGTGCACTCATTGGCTTCTTAAATTTTCTATCCCTTCCTGTAAGCCTATATTTACCCCACTTAATCTTGGTTTTCCAATTTATAAAATAGTGAAAACAATAAAACCTAACTCACAGGTTGTTGTGACAATGGAATTGAATAATATGAAACATGATTCACACAATATCTGAGAGTCAATAAGTGAACAATTATTCAAATTTTACATATTCATTTATATTTTACATTCACTTAATTACAAAAGGATTCTTTTATTTTTTTTTTACAATTTTGATTTTAGGTATAGGGGTAAATGTGCAGATTCGTTGCATAGTAGGTGCTAGAGGAGGGATAGCATTAGGAGAAATTCCTAATGTAAATGGATTGATGGATGCAGCAAACCACCATGGCATTGTGTATACCTATGTAACAAACCTGCATGTTCTGCGCATGTACCCCAGAACTTAAAGTCTAACTAAAAAAAAAATTGTGTGTCAAGGATGTTTGATGTACAGATCATTTAATCACCCAGGTAATGAGCATAGTAATCATACCCAATAGTTTTTCTGTCTTCACCCTCCTCCCACCATCTATTCTCAAGCAGGCCCCATTGTCCAATATTCTCTTCTTAGTTTCTGTATATACTTAGCACTTATCTCCCATGTATTTGATTTTCTGATACTGCATTAATTCACTTAACATAATGACTTCCAAGCACATCCATGTGCTATAAAAACATGATTTTATTCTTTTTTGGGGTTACATACTACTCATTCATGTATATGTACCATTTTCTTTATCCAACTGATCGTTCATGGGTATATAGGTTGATTCCATTTCTTTGCTATTGTAAATAGTGCTGTGATGAACATATGAGTAACACCAAGAAATCCATCTTGAGTAAAACAAAGGGGTCCAGGTTTAATCTTCTGCATATGGCTAACCAGTTATTCGAGCACCATTTATTCACCAATTATAGGCAGTCTGTTCCCATTGCTTGTTATTATTGACTTTGTTGACAATCAGATTTTAGATGCATGGCTTCATTAGTTGGTTCTCCAACCTGTTCCATTGGTCTATGTGTCCATTTTGTGTACGGTATCATACTGCTTTGGTTACTGTGGCCTTGTAGTATAGCTTGAAGTCAGGTAGCGAAATGCATCTTCATTTGTCTTTTGGTTAGGATTGCTTTAGTTATTCAGGCTCTTTGGTTCTACATAAATTTTATACTTGTTT